ACACACATACAGATATATGCGTACATCTGTATTTACATGTAACACATACGCCTTTGTGTATCTAAGACGCTATCCAAATGTTCGTGGTTTTCCTCACCTTCTAAATAGTACCGTAATGTATGCTCACACGCAAAATCATTTTTTCTTTTTTCTTCCATCAATTTCGATATCAAAAAACACAAATACGTATTTACGCGCATACCTATACAAGAGCAATATTGGTCCAATCGTTCAATAGGTCCGTGCTTATGTAAATAAATCTACACAAATTTATCAACACACTTACACACACACATACGCTTTAAAAAAAAAAATGTATTCGTTCAAGGACCGATTACGTTACGTCCCCACAGAGTTTGCCAGTGAAAAATATCCCGCACTTTTGCGTGCAAGCGCAAAGAAGATTGTGGCCACTGTGCGACCATTTTGGTTTACATACATATACATATAGATAGCACGTACGTACATACATACGTATTCCCAGTCGACAAAATTAGAGCCCCTAATTCGAATCCTTTGAAATTATAGGCCTCCTTTATTTGATTATTTACCTCTTTTTTTACTTATTTGTATCGAATGCTTGTGGAAATTTTGCAAGAAATATCAATGACAATGTTCACGTTGTTTTCTTTTATTTTGACTTGAATATTGAGCTTGAGGCCTTTATTGATGAAAATTTTTGCAGAAAAAAACGAGCAGTCTTTTACCAAAATTTGAATTATTGTTGTTTCTCCGCAAACATTTTCGTTATAAACGGCCGCAAGCTTAATAAAAATCTTTCAATAAAAATTATTCTTAGGCCAGAAAATAATAAAACCGAAAATTTTCAGTATAAATAAAATTTACTGCTTTGACAGTTTCTTCTATACTCTTATTCAGCCTTGCTTACTTTTACTTGAGAAATGTCATCACCGCCAGGACGGAGCAAACTTGTATTACATATATCATTCTTGGATACTTATGCTTTATATTTATGGGACCAGTACTGGTAACGTTTGGTCTCGGGTTACTTCGAAATGTATGCCTTGACAGTATTTATACGTACGATATGTTAAGAATGAATGTAAATACTTAAATAAACAAACCAGCTTATGATCTGATTCAATATCAGTTATAGTTATTTAATAACTGAGAAACCCAAGCCAATGCACACAACTGAATGGGCGGTAGGCAAAAGTAAATGAAAATGATATATACATACATATATTTTTTTAGTAAAAAAAGCTGTTGCACTCGTGAGTATAGCCACACATAAATACGCAAACATACTTAATCATTTAAATTGTTGATCAACAAAGGGACGATTTATGAGGCATTGGAACAAATAATATGAGCATTTGGCTATTGTTATAGCCATGCTAATATACAGTACATATGTACATATAAATGTTTATACACAAATAAAAGAAGTGGGTGCGTGCAAACACATATTTGCATTAATCTTTAAGTAGAGTATTATTCGTATGTATCACGCCAAAAGAATTAAAAGAAAATTGGCCAGTGTTTGGCAAGCGAAGGCAACCAGCCAGCGATGTGTTAACAAGTGCAAATTTTTTGTCTGTTTATTTATGTATTCCCTTTATCTACATATTTATACCTGTATCCTTAGAGATAGAGAATAAATAAATACATACGTATGTATGCGCTGTATCTTTCTTAGTGGTAAGTTAAATAGAATAACCGTATGTATATGTATGTATGCATTGAATTGGATATGTATTATATTTAGGCTTATAAGTGCATTAAAAGTAGCAAAAGGGAACAACGTGCACAGTACCACCTTACCAGTCTTAAATACGATAAACACTAAGGTAACTTGAGGCCTTAACCGAAACCACCCCAAAAACGAAAAAAGTAATAAAAAATTGAAACGTTAGATATAAAAAATTGTTCACCAAAATTATTATTATTATTTTTTTTTTGTTTTAAACTTTGGGTATGCAGTTTTATAGACTATTAAATTTTAGTATAATAAGGTGCAAGTTGAAAGTGGCTTGCGGTCGCTTGGTCGCGTTGATTTTTAATAATATAAGAAAACGCTTTTATTTCCCATTTAGTATGCAGATTTGCTCGAAATGTTAGCGAAAAAAGAGCGCAGGTCTGGCGGCCAGCGGAATTCGGAGAAGTATCTGCTGTCGGCATAACTGCTGTATCCGTAACCACTCCCATTTTATAGCTTCCAACCGACTATATCACACCAAAATCTGGATCCACCTTAGACTCTGCATGAAATTCCCAATCCGTAGTGACTGGATTCGAGAGGGCACATAGTGCTTAGACGCAATTGCAGAAATTTCCATTTCATTTCCCTTATAAGAGCTTTGCGCATCTCTCCAAGAAAATTCATTGCAAAATGAGGCTTTTTTGGAGTTACTTGGATATCTTAAAAAAATCGTCTACGGAATCAACGCAAGCACCTATTAAAGAGATGGTAAGGTACAAAAAACACAAGACACCCACAATAAGGCAGGTGGCTGTACGTTTACTCAAGATGGCCTGATCGTAAATTAGGCGCCCTCCTCATCCTATACTAGGACTGTAGGAGATATCTGATCTACATTTCTGATCAATCAGAAACTGCCTTTATAAGAACCGCACTAAATGTTTTCCACGCGATGTAAGAAATCAAAAGCAGAATAACCACAATTTAGCACTCGATAATTACGCGATATTAATACAAAATTACGAATAAAATTTGGAGACTTGAAGTAAAATAAATTGTTAGCTTAGTTGGTGGTTTTATACTCGCTAAAAATGTACTTTAAATATTACGTGTTTCATTTCATTCTATTTATTACTCGTCTATGTCGCATGCCAATTTACAACTACATAAAACAAATATCTCAGCGCATAAAATTACACTCGCAGTATTTAATATTATTATCGCATTTGGTTTAATATTAAAACAAATGTATGTGCGTAGAAGCGTGTATTCACGTACGTGTAAAAAAATTCTATGTGTGTATGTGAATATGTTGATGAATTAATGAATTTACACACAGTTGAGTGCATTAATATTTCATGAGCTCTAAATGTAATTTAAAAGCCATAAATAGGAAACAATTTCTTGAAATATGCACAGCAAACAAAAACAAAAAAATAAAATAAAAAGCAGCGTAAATGAACTCCAAAATATGCTCCCTAAGCGCATTTCAATTTAGTCAAAAATACGCAAATAAAGCGAAATACACGTATGTATTTACATACGAAGATATGTAAACAATTTTTAACCCTTAAGTAGATGATTAAATTTCAACCGCTGCACTATTTTCTAGGCAAAATTCGAGATGTAACCAAACTGATGTGAAACTTGGTGTTTGGAGGTCGCTAATTTCGATTTTTGGAATATAAAATGGCGGATCCAATATGGCGACCAAATTTTATAATTTGTTCATTTTCACCACAAACTCGTATATGTAGATGGGGGGTTTTCGAGGGCTGATTTCAAATCTCATGTCAGATTTTTGAAATTCAAAAAGGCGGATGCGATGTGGCCATATCGGATTCGAAGCAAAAAAAAATAATTAGTTTAAAATAGCAGATCATATTTTTGCTATATATATTTTTCTAATCATGGATGCTTCGAATAAAAACGCTTTCCTTTGGATATATGTATGTATGTATATTCGTATCTGAGTAAAAAATTTTAAATTTTTAGAAGCAATTGTTATGCTCGATTTTCACTAGGCATTAAATAACAAAAATTACAAACGAAAAAGTTGGGCACTAAAAGGTAATCTTGTTATTGCATTCAAAAAAAAAGTCATTAAATTCATTTCCACATGGAATTTTTTTGCCATATAAATTTTTTGTCATTTCAATGCCTAGTGAAAATTCGGCATTCAAGTTTGTTGAATTTTCATAATTTCGGTACGAAGTTTGAAATGTGGATTTATTTGGCGCTGGTTAGGTAAAGGGCTAGACTTTTATAAAAAAAAATATATATAAACATTAATTGAACAAAAGAAAGATAGCCAAAACTAGTCAAAATATCACTTGACCAATATTTGTATTTGTATTTTATTTGTTAAAATGTGTACGAATTGTGTGATTTTTTGAAAGGCTAGGTATAAAGTTGAAAAAAAAACAAATAACGTAACGTTCAAGTTTAAACCAAAAAACTTCGGGCAGCATCCCCTTAATAATATTTTGCAGCAAAAACTCTAAAACAGCGTATTCTTTGCATCCTTGTTGACTGCTTCTTTTCAAATATCGAAAAGCTCGATAGAACAACGACGCAGAAGTTTCCTAAGGAAAAAGCCCATTATTCAAAAAGTTCAAGAAAGTGAGACGTGATTTTCAGCCCACAAGCTTTAGATTAAACATTTTTATTACCCACAAAGCTTGAAGACCAATTTTGTATAGCTCTGCTTAAAGTGGAATAGATAATATTACCCAAATTAGAGTCCATTTTGAAAATGAACTTATTTATTTTAGCAAGCTGTATGCTAGCTTTCATTTTTTTCTTTTTTGAAGTATCTTCATCGCTCGAAGATTTATTCCAATTCTAACTGAAAGAAGGCTAACTGCGAAAGAAAAAAATATTAAAACTTTTTGTAGAAATGTCAACTTTAACAGCTGATATCTCTACGGGAATACTCTTTACGAAAATAATGAGTATACACTTATTTATTCTGGGAAATTAGTTTAGTGAAGGAATAAAAAAAAAATCAATTTATCGATACTTGAAAAAATGACTTTTGGCCGGCAAATAATAGCTGCCAGACCATAGTGCGCTGGACCAAAATTAATATTTGAAAAACTTATTGTTAATTTACATTGAGAAAGATTCAATAAACTACATTGTCAAAAAAATATATATATGTATATATCGAAACAGGCCTGCTCAGTTTTCTTTAAAAAAAAAATTGAAAAATGTATTCTTTCAAGATGCTCACAAATGTTAATTGAGAGGTGATCCGTCATTTGGAATCAGACCACTCAACCGTACCTACTTCCGACCAGCGCGCGGTCCCAATAATTCGGTTTCAATAACTGACAGTCTTCGTTTCACCATTTCATTTAATTCTAAATACAACGAAATTCTGCACGCATTTCTAATTGAAATGCCAATATTTTGTAAATTCCCTCGCCGCGCTTGTGCGGTTGCTGTTGCTGTAGCTCTCTGACAATAAATATAAATTTGTTCATTTGCTTTCCATTTTTTAGTACATAATTTGCATAAACTAAATCGTGGAATTTTGTATATTCTTTTTTAATAAAATTCCACGGATATGCCAAAATGAAATGTATATGCGCAGCTAATACAAATATTTGTGTGTGCAAGTATTAGATATGTTTACATACATATGTACATATGTATGTATATGCGAATTGCTGTCTAGTTATTTATTACATTATTTGTTGTTGTAATATGCAACTCAGCTGCAATAATTCTCGAAAATTTGGCATGGCACGCTGCATATATACATACATATATAACTAATAAGAACGAGCGCGTATTTACATAGGTACATATGCATGTACAGTGACGGGCAAAACTGTAGCATGGTGTAACACTTTTTACTTGAGTTATCGCTATCTTCCCAAGTTCTAATGACTTTCATACTTTTGTTGTATATTCTCGTTGGTACATCCCTACTCCCTCTCTCATAACGATTTGAAGTCAATACAACAACAATAAAAAAACCAGCAGAAAAATATGTAAATTAAGGCATATGTTACAGTTTTGCACTCATACATTTTTAAGAACTTTTTAACAATTTTCACGAAAAAAAGAACTACTAACACAATGTTCAGTACTCTTTTGCTTGTTTCAGTTCCTGGATACGATTTGGGCTACCTTATTTGTATCTCTGTAAAAATTCTGGAGGTATACCCTTAATTTGCTTTCACAGCTTATGTACTCGATTTTACGGACTTCGATACTTAGTAAGCTGTGCTTTTAGTTGTTTTCGCAGATTCTCAATGAGATTCATGTCCGCGGATTGTGGAGGTCATTTGAAATTAGCAAATTTTTGCTTTTGTATTCAGTCTTTGCGAATATGTCCAGTGTGTTGTGGGTGATTTTTCAGCAGAAACTCTAATTTTTTCGACTACATCTTGCAAATTTTGTTGAAATATGAACAGATACTGTTCCTCACGCATAATGTGTACTAACAGACCAAGAAAATGTTTGAAATACAACCCCAAACTATTATTGACCGACCACTGTTATTCACAGTTTGCCTTACATGCTGCGCATGGGCTTAATTTGGGTCTTTGACCCAATACCATGCCCGGTCATCTGATTGAAAGCGATTAATTTAGTCTTGTCGGACCAAATAACCTTCAATTGAAACTTAAAAATATGTTTTTTATTGCATTCTGAACGGCCTAACATATCCCAATATGCAACGGTTCGGATTCCGTGCGATGCAGCAAAATGCTGCCGCACTCGCACATGTATTTTGATCAAATTTGCTTTTTTCTTCTTTGATGATCCTTTGCGCTCAATTTGGCAATTCTTCGCCTCGCTGTCTATTGATTTGCGTTAAAGTTTAATACCTTAAGCGCTTCTGTAATAGTGGCTGCATCGCTACTTGCTGTTAAGTTCACAAGATATCGTACCGTAATATTTTTTGACAGACTTCCTTTGTTCTTGGGAACACTTTAGGCTATATTTTTTCCCAGTCTTAACATTTTCAAGTAGCAAATTCCAAAATTGTTTGCCACTTTTCGTGCGGTCCCGCCTTTCCGCAGTAAATCTATTATTTACATTTATGGTTCCTGATTAACTATATTATTTACTGGTGATCACTTCTTCAATAAACTACAATACAGAAAAAAGTCATCTGACTTCCAACTAAGTAAGAGATAACTGTCAAATGCAAAACTGAGAGTAAGTGCAAAACTGTAACATCTGCCTCAATTTACATTTTTGTCTGCTTTGTTTTTTTATTGTTGTTGTATTGACTTCAAATCGTTATGAGAGACGGAGCAGGGATGTACCAACAAGAGTATACAACAAAAGGATGAAAGTCTTTAGAACTTGGAAATATAGCGATGGCTGAATTAAAAAGTGTTACACCATGTTACAGTTTTGATCGTCACTGTATATTAGACTGATTCAAAAAAAAAAATCTAAAAAATATTTTTTAAGCCCCCTCTTCGAAAGACCCTCAATCCTTAATATTAAGTTTCAAAGGTCGCGCATCGCAGATTTCTATTTTCCAAAAAATTGTTTTCAACTTTGAAAAAAATTGTTTTCAACTTTGGAATATGTTTTCTTTTCTTTGAATTTTCGTACTGAAAAGTGCGATGCATATTTTTGTAGGAAATTAGACGCTAATTTTTTGATAAACCCACTGGTTTAACGGGTGTTCACACTTAAAGTCATTATTACAGTTTTTTCTCCTATTTTAGGTAAAATAATTACAGATGTCTTCAACTGTGTAACAATAAGTCAGTTTAATAAGTCTTGTAACTTGGTTTTACTAAAAAACGCCATTTCAGGGAAACATTTATTAAAATAATTTCTATTATGTTGAGTTATGTTCGAAAGTTTGTTTTTTTAATTTTTCACTAAAAATTATTACAATTTACTGTTTTTTTTTGGAAAAAAATTGCAATATTTAATGATAATTTTAATTATTTTACCTAAAATACAGAAAAAATTGTAAACATGATATATGTAAATTCAAATTTAAGTTTTAACTAGCGTTCAACCAGTAGATTTAGCAAAAAATTATACAAAATCGCTTTTGGAGAGCGTCTAATTTCCTACAAAAATATGTACCGGACCTTTCAGTTCGATAACGCAAAGACGAGAAAACAAATTGAAAAGTTTAAAACAATTTTTTTCTAAGTAATTTATATGAAAAATAGAAATCGGCGATGCAGGACCGTTTAAACTTAATACTAAAGCGCCCTTTTAACGGGCAACTTTTGACATCCCCCCCCCCCCCCCCNTTTTTAATCAGTCTAATGTTTATGTAGATGTACATATGTACATACCTACACCTGTACTTGTATATGTATACGCATTTGGGTATTTGTTTTGTGTGCATTTCAGGCATAAATATTTGTCACTAAATCGCTAAATATATGCCATGAAACTGGACACTGGTTTATTACTTCTGCTGTCACACGCACGAATGCACTCCAATTATCAAAAATAGTTCATTAGTTGCAATTTATTTATATCTACTCACAAACTAGCGGAACGAAATGTGTTAAACCACGTATTGCCGTGTTTTTTGCATGCCTTGTTTGCGCAGTTTTCCTAACCGACAAATTTTGACAAATAAATGAAATTACAAAATTTCATTAAAATTGCATGTATGTGTTTTTAATTTATCACAATTACTAATATGAAACCAATTGTACTTGCACAAATACGGATCAGTCTTCTAAGTAAATATAAGAAGTTACAAGGCTTTATCGATCTAATTGTGTGTAAGACTGAAACCCACCGTCAACGAACTGATTGGGCCTTAACAGTGTGGCTTTAGTTCTGGGAAATCCACCATAGGCCAGATAATCACCATATGACAAAGACTCGCTAAAACAGGCTGTGTTCAGAAATGCATATTGGAAAATTAGACATAAAAGAGAATGATGACGGGCGGTTGTGTAAAATGAAATGGAGCAGAAACGTTCGAGCTTTAAAAGTATATACAGAGAAAGCTCCCATAAGCGGACACCCATGGTCGCTAACTTCTTGTTCGCCTATAGAAAATATCCGCTTATGGGAATTTTGTAAAAAAATAATATTAAAATTTTAATTTAAAAACTTGAAATTGCGGTTTGGTAGCAGACGAAGAGGTAGGCCTCTTTTGCGATGGAAAAACCAGGTGGAGAAAGACTGGTGATACTGGCGAAACTGACATACGCGAAGACTTTCGACCCTGTTACACTGGTGACACTGTATAAAATTTAACAAAACGGTTAACAGAAATGTGTTGCCTGGTATTATTGAAAATATTTTTTTTCTCGTACAGGGTTCAAAAATTAACTCATCCATATCCTGTGATTTTTCAGTAAAAAAATGTGTCTAAAATTATTAAGGGTTTAATGGGTTAATTTTTTTCCAAAAGTTAAAAGATGCGAGACAAACTTTTATTGATGGCACACACTTTTATTCAAAGTTGGATAAGGAATAGTTGATTTATTCATATTTTCATAAAATTCCCACATGAAATTTTAATACTGTAAACATATTGGCAGCATTTAAAAAAAAAAATCTGTTCTTTATATTCTTCTAGACTAGTGGACTTATTCATAAGAAATAAAGTAGGTTTAAATAGCTTTATAAGTTGACGTTTTCATACAGTTTTCAATTCATGAACCTTTTAAATAAACTAGCCTCAAGTTTATTTTTTATGAATAACGCTATAAATATTTCCTGTAGAACTTCGGTTTCTAAAAATTTTTTCATTAGAAAGGCTAAAAAAAATATTTAATCCGCCATTTGTGGTGGCGGCTGTTTTTGGTTTTGAACTTTTTTCATAATGTACTCTATTCTACTAGACAAATCCCTTAAATATGATACCCACATTGAGGGTGTGGTGAAAAAATATGATATCCGCAAATTTGTGGCGACGGCAATCTTAGATTTACAATAAATTCCAAATCAACAGGTCAACAAGAAGGGGGATAAATTTCAATTACTAGTAGATTTGATTTGGCAATGAAGAAGTATATTTGGCCCAAACAGGGAATAAAACGATCCACACGGATGAAAAATTGTGAGCCAAAATGTTTCACAAAAATATGCGGCATTAAATTTAAGGATCCGGCAGCGTCTCCTTACGGACTGCATTTGAACAGAATATGCCCAGGTTTGTATTCAAAAGGATACGAGTATTCGGCTTGAAAGAAAATGGACATGTCAGGGCTTAGATACCCTAAATTAAACACGCTGCCTTAACTTGATTATCGAGAAGCTCGCGAGTATAACAAGTTCTTCGGCACGGATGTGGTTGTAGTTTTTTATTTAATTGCTATTTTTTTAGTCGTCTTTTATTTGTTTAATGCAATTGGAATATGCTAGACTCATTTTTGGAAATGTGTTACAAAATTTGTTGCAAGTTATACTTATACTATATAGCCGCACTTTATTACATGCTCTTCTGTTGAATTTCCAAGCTATTCATTTGAAGTTGGCAAAGCTTGTATATACTTAAATATTTAGAAGATATGCAATATTTGGTGTGTGCGCGTATGACGGCTGAATTCGTAAGTATTTATATACTTGTTTAAATATATATGAACATATGCATATATAGTAAAATTGATGAGTGAGTGCTTAATTAACTCTATCTGTGTTAACATCTAGCTCTTCATCATGGGTAAAATGTGCTAAAAAAAAAACAATAAAACACCTAACCGCATAAAAATAAATTATGTCACTGCTCTCTAGTTTCGCTTTGTATATAAGAGTTATTTATTCTTAAAATTTTCACTTAAAATGATTACTTTTATATTTTGCCATGACTGTAAATCATTAAAGAAGCGTTAATAATACCGGTATTTTATAAAAATATTAGGTAATAAAACTGTTTGAAAAAATATGCTGGGGAGCGAAGGAGACCTATTATAATATTGAACGCATAGTTGGCTGGCAAATGTACGCTTGAAATCCGATTTAATTAACTTGTAAATGTACAAAGGAGACTGCGAAAATTTGCATTTATTGTGTTATCAATCATAAAAATGAAATACCAAAATTAGAACTAAATATGGTTTTCAGACAGTGTGAACTTAATAAATACAATTTTTGGCTCGAAATCTGTTATAAGTCACATCGAGCATTTACAATGCAAACTTGCATTTAAATTTATAATTTTTATTTTATTCTGTTTAGATATCAGCTTGAAGATAAGTTTAAGTTAGATTATAAGTTCAAAAATCGTTAATTTTTGTCATTAGGATTGCGAAACTGTACCCCAAGCTGACCTTCTTTTATCTTAATGACTGCTGCGATACCCTTTCACTATGAAATTTCTGTTACCAACACAATAGCAATTGCATAGAAGATCTCAACATATGACTAATGCCATTAAATTGTATACAGAATACTGCAAACTTATAGAGGAGTTTTCTCAACCGAACTGGTGATGGAGACATACATACATATACGTATATTTTTGACCATCCGACCATTGCAATTTGTATCCAGCGGAAGTGTGGTGGCCATCCAAGAACGACCTATAGAGCTGAAGCTTTGCTCAGAGTCCCAAATGAGGTGGATAAAGGTAATGCAAGAATAAAAAAAAGACGCTCTAATTATTAAATTGAGATTATGTGTCACGTGACTTATGGTTCCAAATTTATGATCTCTTGAACGTATGCCGTCTGTGGGAGATGCTACGACTTTTTGCAAACTCTCATTCGCTTAGCTGTTTATTCCCCAAGGGTTCAAGGTTATGGTTCTCTGAACGCGCCAAGCCTGTGGTAGATCTACGTCCCTTTCAGTTTACTATAAACGCCTACTTTGATAATTTCTATACACCCAATATTTACCTGTGGTAACTTTTGGTCCTAAAGTTATAGCTGATTAAGATTTCATGCCTATGTAATATGACACGCCCTCTTTTACACATTCATTTAAACTTACCCCACTATAAATGCCTACTTTAGTTATGTTTTCACACTAAGCTTCAAAATCGTGCGGCCCGAGAATACTATCGAGTCACCAGGTAAAACCCATGAAATTCGATTCAGTAAATCCGGAGATTAGGGAGTTCAAACAGACATACCAAAATTCTAAAAATGGTCCAAATGTATTTATTATGTTACATTCCCCGCATCACCGTCTACAGATTTATTATGGTACCTATACATTACTTTTAATTGCTGTTGTAAGCATCTGAGAAATGCAAACAAGCATTCGACTTTTTTTTTCACTTAAAGATTTTTGATCAAAAGACCGCTTTGATACCAATATTGGGCATATTTGAAATAAGAAAATGTTAAAAACAAAACACGGTTGTTATGTGATAATAATTTGTGTATAGATATAATGTTTTATCATATGCAACATACTAGTAACGTACCTGGTCAAAACTAAAAGCAGAGTTGCTATTTAAATAATATTCTCTCCCTTTAACTGTTGGCAACAGCGCGAACTGCAAATTCTCCTGAAGAAAATATTTAGTTCATTTTTGGTGGATTAAATTTCAGAATTTGCCGCTTTTACATACACTAGGTAAATAACCACCAGCAACAAAACTACCATGTGAAATGACATAACAACCGGAAATTTACTGCTCCTCTGTGTAAACTCGCTGCCACGCATTTTCAGAGATATGCAAATATTTATTATTAATTAAAAATTATAATGCACGCAAGCGAATGCAAACACGCACACTAAGCACTAGCATGCGCGCAAAACGCCTATATATACTCGTATTTATGTACGAGCACACATACTTATATACAGTAGTCCACAAAATAATAGTAGTGCGATATTTTGATCAGTTTTGGCTATTTGTCTTTTGTTTATTCAATGTTTTTTTTATTTTACTATAAAAGTCAAGCTGGGTATACAACAAATAGCGCATAAGTTGAGATTTCAATCTTTGTACAAAAATTATAAAAATTCTGCCAATTTTAACCAAAATTTCAAACTTTTTAATCGGAATCTTTAAAAAAAATTTTGGTATGCAGTTTTGTAGCCCATTTGTAGCCCCGTTGATTTTTGGCAATTTTTTTTTTTTTTTTTTGATGGCAGTGCCCCCCATCTAGAAGGAAATTGTAGAACATATATACTTTGTATGGAAAAAACGCGAAACCAAAAAAATTCTCAAAAATCAACGACATGTTTTACCTACTTGAAACTTGTACTTCTTTAGAATGGAATTATGTGTGCTACAAAACTGCATACCAAGATTTTTTCAAGAGTTTAAAACTTTAGTGAAAATTACCAGATTTTTAATAATTTTTGTACAAACTTGGAAATGTAAATTTATATGGTGTTTGTTGTAAAACTAGCTTGTTTTTTTTACAAAAAAAATAAACATTAAATAAAAAAAAGACAAATAGCCAAAACGGTTCAAAATATCTCACTGCCTCTCCTAATATTTTGTGGGCAACTGTAAATACTTGCGTACCTATGTGCATGTATAATTTAACACAAAAACAACCACCAATTCTTCGAAATTGTCAGCAATTTGATGGCCACCTACACAAGTTCATATATATATACATATATAGACATGCACCGTTGTTATACCCAACTAAAATTCATACAATGTCATGTGTATGTGTGTTAAGCACAACTTACGCCCCCATTGTGAACGCCTAAAATGCTGCAGCAAACAGCTATAAAATTTTGTGCTCTCGAAGAGCAAAAGCAATTCAATTTTAATTATATCTACGCTCGATGGCAATGAATGTATCAATTCCGCTATGATAAATGCCTGCATGGACTGGGGTTGGAGGTATGAGTTTCGGGTGTGGTGATTTAGATATAATTTTGGTTTTTTGTGGGTGCAAAATGGGCGCAGAAAATGGGCAGGGCAATGAATTGTCGTCGCTGTTCAAGCAGACGAATGCAATTAAAACGAAATACGATGCACAACGAATGCTATGAAGTACATAAGCAAATAAGCTTTAATCTACATCAAAGGACAAGCTTATTAAGACTTAAATTTTTGTTGACAAACAACTATTCAGAAATTTACGCGACTCAGTTGCAAGTCAGCCGCCGTACAGCTATAAAAAATTACCTAAATTGAAACTTAGACGTACAAGGAGGAATAAAGAAACAAACTGGTTTTATGAAAGGGTTGTAAATCAGGTATTTGAGCTTATTCATCGCTAAATTGCCATTATTTCCGGTTTATGGTACGTATTAGAGGGCTGCATGAATGCATTCAAAACGGCTTTTGAATTATTCATATATGTATGTATGTATGTATTGCTGCGCTCCTATTACATACGAAAAAACTTGTTT